GTGTTAATTACTTGGTAGACATTATATTTTTCTGCAGTCATATTCATTCTGCTGCTCTCTATTCTCTGATTGCTTAGGGGTTTTAGCCAAAAATCTTCCAAAGGGGGAGTTTGTAAGTGTTTAGTTATTGGCATGTATTTTTGGTAAAACCAGGTGTGTGAATGTCATGACTGATGTCATAACATTCTGGTTTATTAGGTACTTTATGCAGAAAAAGTATGGCATACAGTAGCTACTGTTTATGAGTGTGTATCTGAGCATTTTGCGATGATCACATTTATTGCCTTCTACCAAAATCAGTAAACAGGAATTCTGATGTCATAACAAATGTTAAGACATCCTGTACTGATCTAACAATTATGCAGTTTGGTTAATTCTGAGATTTTTTAGGAAGTTGGCTCATTCTTTCCAGAACAGAATCTCACGTGGACTTTAGGTTAACCTAGCTCAACCCTAATCTGGTTGATAAAGTCTTGTGACCAAGTCTTGAGGTTAACCCTAATTAACCCTAGCTTTTTGTGGAAACCCTAACTGAAGAAACAGCTGCATATATATTCAACAGGAATGATGATTGGAAAGTAACTCTTAGACAAAAGATCAATTAGGAGCTGTATAGTTTTAACTGCTGTAATCCAAGCAAGTATCATTGTGATAAGTGACTTGGAATAGGTTTTGATTGTAAGGGTTTTTGTATCACTCAAAGCTTTGAAGCAAGAGTGATTGTGTCTCTTGACTAAAGCTTTGAAGCAAAGTCAAGTTAGGTTTATGTATCACTCAAAGCTGTGAAGCAAGAGTGTTTGTGTTACTTGATTAAAAGTTGTGAAGCATAATCAAGTGTATGTTCTGAAGAGTGTCTTCATTATTTCATTAGTCAATTGTTTAAGTATCACTGCTGTGATTGAGGGGGAGTGAGTAGGAACTCAGGTTTAAGTTGAACTTAGATTGAAGTTGCATTGGGTAGGTCTTAAGTGAAGGAGATAAACTGGTTGGTTTATTCCTGAATTAATATCTCTTATAGTGGATTTCCTCCCTGGCTTGGTAGCCCCCAGAGTAGGTGTTGTTTCACACTGAACTGGGTAAACAATTGACTGTGTTCTTTACTGTTTTTATTTACTGTCTTATAGAAAGTCAGATACGGTGTCATAACATTCACTGTGACATTGAGTATCTGCTGCCAGAATTCCAACATGTATAGTACATACATTTCTATTGAATGACCCTAAAATAGGCGTGACTTCTACATAAGTCCACTTACGATTACTTAACATAGCGCTAAATTTGTTCCCATTCAGAAAATGATCATTCATGGCCCAAACTTTATGTTTGAAAGCCCAAGTATAATTGATTTTTAGATTTTGGTTCAAAAGTTTTGAAGCTTTTTGTTAAGAGGCTTTGGTCTTATGAATCCTCTAACAAGCCTTCATCAACTTTGGCCTAAGTTCAACCTTCAATCGTCGTTGATCATATGTGTTATTTTTGAGTACTTGAAATGAATGATATACTTGACAAAAAAGCAAATGAAACTTGTTTTTGGGAGGTTTTGATTTTATCAATCCTCTAATGAATTCTCAAAAGAAAGCTTTAAGATGGTCATTCAACTAAACTTTTGTTATACTTGACTTCTAACTTCTAACTCACTAACAATTAACTTTACTTTATGCCTTTATTTTATGCCTTTACTTTTATGTATCATTTACATTTCATGCTATTTTCCTTTTTCTCATTTGAGCATTTATTTTATGTCATTTCTTCTTTGCTCACTTGAGCTTTCTTTTATCTTTTTAAGACACTTAATAATTAACTTATACCTTAAAAGACTTAATTCTCTGTGGACTATTTGGTTACTATCCTTGGTATTATGGAGTTGTGGATCTCTCAGACTTAAGATTAGAAGCCTTGATACTTGGAGACCTTGGTGTCCTGTTGTTATTTTGTCTGAAGTCCTTGGGGTTTACTCCAAGGCATTCAATGATTTTCTTTGTGTGCAAGTTATTCTGATTTTATGCTTTGTCTGTGATTGAGAATTTCTCTTTACACAGTTGTTACTCTATCCAATTTTTGTGAAGACTTAATACATCTAAGGCGCAAGTTCATTTGAAGCTTATTTTCATCCGAAGCTCAGTTTTATTATGCTTTCTTGGTTTTTTAATCCAAAGGATGAGAATTCTACATTGACTTCTTTATGTCAAGTGTTGGCTTCTTGTTGGTTAGACCGTTCTTTTACTTAGCTTTTACTTTGTGTATATAGGATAGTCTCTTCCTCTACCCCTATCTTCTTTAATTTTCAAATATACTCCCTCCTTTTCAAAACTCTTCTTGTTTTTTCAAACTTTAATCACTTTCATAATAAACTTGGACTTAGGTCCATGCATTTTCAAAACATTTTTCTCAATCAAAATCTCAATCAATCTAATCATACTTTGACATCTTTTTTTAAGACTAAAAGACATTAACCTCACTCAAACTATTTTTTCCAATTTGGAATTTTATTTTAAACATTTTCTTAAAAGATTAGACTCTTGTTGATTCTTGTAGTGATGCAAGCTACTATGCTTCTATAATATGTAGTGAAGTGAGCCATTTAACACTTGGGTGTTGAGTGACGTCTTGTGAATTTCAAAATCCAAATGAAGTTTTCCACTTTCATATGTCGCAAATGCTCTTTTCTCATAATTGTGGGTAGTAAGTATGTTTTACACTCGGATACGACGATAATGTCTCTTCTCTTAAAATTAACCTACACACATGTGTTTTTAAAACTTTTGAGGTTCCTGTGGAGTTCCATAGTGTGTAGGGTGATAATACCTTCCCTTTTCATAACCAACCCCCGTATCTAGATTCTCCCCCCCTTACTTTTGAGTTTATTCACTCTTTTTCTATTTCCTTTGGAAACAATAAAGCGCGATGATGATTTTTTATTTGATTCGTATGAGTTAAGTCAATCCAATGACTTAGACTCAACATTTCTACCGCTACACTGTGTCTATAATTATTGAGGAAAATTGGTTTTAGGTGGAAATAACAAATGCATGCAACTATTATATGTTGAAGCAATATAATACATGTTTGGGTTGGCTAAGCAGTTTTAAATATGTAAGTTGATTCTGAGTGATTTTGAGATTTTTGGTTAAGCAAAAACAGAATTAATTCAATCTTCAAAATTGATTCTACTTGAAGCTAGAATCTGTAGCTTATGTCTCTAGAATTGATTTTAGATGATTTTTATAATGAAATTTATGGTTTAACTCACTTTTACATAAATGTATTCAAACATAAATAAATTCCGCTAAACTCAATTATGATAAAATCAATTCTATCAAAATTCGGTTAGAATCAATTATGTTCACCGCTAATTCAAACACATACATGCAACTATTATATGTTGAAGCAATATAGTATAATCATAAAACCATGGGCAAAGGAAGGAATTGCAAGTCATACATTAAGCGAAAAAAGATGGTATTACATAACATTAATTTAACAAGATTCATCAAGCTATTAAATTAATGTATAATGGATTTTCTAATACCATTTCTTCAAATGTCGATGCTGATAATGATAAACTTCGATACATCGGTCTTTGTGATATGTCTGTAGGTATAGGTGTATATGAAATAAAATCTAATGCACTCGGAAATTTCCCGCATTCACGTTGTCAACACATTATTAACCATTTAATTTTGATCGTACGATTAGAAAAAACAGATTTCTTTTTTCTAAAATTATCACCTTTTAATAAGAACCAACAGATCTTTTTCAAATGGTCAATAGCGCTTGAATGCGTGAAAGCGTGGTTTAGTGACTACAGGCAATCTAGGTCCAGTGTATATACAAACACTTAACTATAAAATGTGAGGTTTCAGATTTTAAAATAGTGGAATTTTGGGTTTAGACATTCTATTATCTTCTTTAGACACAACTATTTCAAAGGACATGTGTATTGTAACAAAAAAACACATTTTATCTTAGTTAGAAAAGAGATTTTATCTCGATTTAACATGCGAAGTAATGAATGACGTCATAAAAACTTGTCATTTTATCCTTTGGGTTTTGTTCCACCGAGGGAAAAGTTGTAATGATCATTGATTCTATCCCCACAATAACATATTTTTATTTTCAGAACTATAAAGTGTGGGCTACATACTTCTCGATTTCTGTAAATATCTGAGGAAAAAACGTATTTATATCTGTTTTAAATTAAAATTATCGTAGCGATTTAGGAATGGAAAGATCGATGGGAAAAGAGGAGCTTCAAAGCTCTCTTAGGACACATGAACAAAGAATGGAGGAGAGGAATTATAATAAGACATAGGAGGAGTTCGCTTTGCAAGCTCCTTTCAATGATATGTTTGTAAGAACAAGAAGTGTTTCTACATCTGGCCTAAATATTTTGATGATAACTCTACATGGTATCATTAAGAACAATTGTATACTCTAATGGTTTAGTTCTAGTGTGCAACTGCTGTTTTAATGTTCTAACTCTGGTATCAAGGCATGTGACGTTATCAGGTTCTGAACATAAACACTACTGGAAGAAAACATCTGGCTACGTGTTTCAGTTGAATTCAAGGTTCTAGAATTCGTCTTATGCAACAGCTCTTAGGAACGTTAGTACAAGAGGTTCTAATTGTTACAAGTATGTCTATGGTCCTAAAGTCATCTCTATTCCGCTCATGGGAGTTATGACAAGTTACACGCCTTTCAATGCCAAACACATTGCTTATTAATCAAATGCCTACAACAAATCTGAAGTTTACAAAATAAAAATGGGAGCTATTTGAAGAAGATCATTCTTTAACATGGTTAAATGGAATTTGTAAAGTTCTCGAGGGGTATTCATAGAGATTTGGAATGTTAGTAACAAAAAGATGGACTTCATTCAAATGTCATTCAAAGTTACAATCAAGATTGACTTATCAAATTCATCCAAAGATAAAAAAATGATCATACTTTTATTGTTCAAAGGTGAAGTTGCAGGATTGAATCCGTTATAAAATTCAATGGCATTACATGAAGATTTATTACACCACAAAAATCATAAAAGAATATCTATTCTAATCCTAATTCTATTAAGCTTCATACAACTTTTCTATAGACTTCTTCCAAACAATAGTTTATCGTACCAAATAGCCCTCATGCTGCAATCTCTCAAACCTATCTATCTTCGTCAAATGACTTCACAAACTTGCTGCCCGGTTCTAACAACATACTCAAACTTGCACCAATATCAAACTGGTCCGAAGTGATGACCAAGGGCGCAACTCTGCATCAAATAGAGAAAAAACAATCCAATCATAAACTAGTCCTTGCAGGAAACCTGTTCACAAAAATAAAAGATAACAGAACTCCCTAGCTAACTATTTTTATAACCTCATAACTGTAATTGAATCCAAAACTAAAATTTATTGCATCTACTGATCCAAATATCTAACTGTCAAAAAACCTATAACTAACTTCCAATCTCACCATTCAATCAGATAACCCAGTTCTTAGATCTAAGGCTCGAATTCGTTCAACTTCTAACTGAAATTTCCTCAAGCAATAACTGAATATAAATTCAGATTTTACCTGAGATTGGATCATTCTTCAATTCTCTGAAGAATCGCCAGAAAAATCTCTCAATTCTCTCCTCCCTTTATCATCTTAATTGGAAGAAGAATCACATAAAAAACCCAGAGAAATAATCACCTTCAAACTCCTCTCCACATTTCTCTACGTTTCCTCTGAAAATCTTCATCAAACATTTCAATCTTCAACTTCAATGTTAAATCACCATCGCATCAATCTTCACCACCACGTGACCCAAAATATTAACACACGATTTCAAAATTAACAGGAATTTGCAAGAACAAATGGAAGGCAGCGTCATTGTTTTGATTGATATCTTAACGACAACAACAAATCCACAAGTCCTTCGCAATGCATCATACAAGCAACAACAATAACAAAAACGCGAGAATCAAAGAAGAAGTGAAGTGAAAGCAACGACGAACCTGGATTTCTAAAAGATGTTTTTTCTATGGTTTTCTCGACTATGTCATTGCTTCAAGGAACTGCTGGAGTTACTCTGGTCAGTAAGTTTTCACGCCTTTCTCTTACACGCATTCTGTGATCTAAGACTAGATTTGAGGCTTTATGTTGTATTCGCGATTAGAGCGTTTAATCGCACTATTCTTGAATAAAAATTTGTCGGACCTAGATTGTTGTGTGAGGCAGATTATGGTTGTTTATGGTGGTGGTGAGAAGGTCAGAACAAAATAATTTATGGCGGAGAAATGGACTGACGTGAACATGTTGAGACTGAGGAGAGTGAATCGAAGATTGGAGAAGGTCGAATGGAGAAGGGAGTTTTAACGAAGCTAATGATGGTGAACAGTGAGGCCGAAACTGCATGATAACAGAGACGAGACGGAGGGAGAAAGCAGTGCTTCATGAGAGGGAAGAGGAGAAAGATTCTTGTCTCGTAGAAGATGAAGAGGCACCAAAGTTAATCGTAATCCTCTCTCTATTTTTATATTTTATTTTTTCTTTTCTTTTAAATTTTTATAAATTCAATGGATAGTATGTTGATAATAACCCAAAAAAAAACTAAAAGAATTATGATGCTAAATTGGACTTTGAGTCACTGTGGTTGGGGTCTAATGTGCAAGTTATCGGACTGAATCCTTAGCCTTTAGCCCAATACACCATTTTTTGGCATTTAGAATTTCCTTGGCACAAAAACCTTGCAGGACTACAAGTTAATTAGGCCTAGCGCCCTGCTTCATGCACTATTTCAATCAAGTTATACACCCCCTTCTGTATTTATTTATGTTAATTGTTTTGAATCAATTTTTTCTTTTCAATAATTTTTGTAGGTTTTGTTGATAAAAAGACATCAATAAAAAATAGTAGAATTTGATAGAATTTTTCTAGGATTTCTATTTTAGAAATTTGGTTAGAATTTTCTATTATTGTTTATGTTCAGTAATTATTTTGTTGCCAAGATTTTGAGATTCACCTTTGCTTGTTGAGATATGAGTCTTATGCAGGTTTACTATGTGATATGTGGATATGCTTGACTTTCTGATTGTGATTTATTATCACATCAATGATGCCTCGACACTTATTTCGAGCATTCGATCTCTGACTGTTTGTTTGTTAATGCTAGCTCACGCGAATTATTATGGGTTTCTTTGCTTTGGTTGCGCTTTTTACGGACATTATTGTTCGTTTGGTATTATACTTCTTCCAGTTTATCTTTCCGCATTTTATCGTTTCTAGATATCGGGAGAAGTAGGAAATAAAGAGTGTGTGCTTGAAGTTGCTATTTAAAGACCTGTAGTATACATTATGCACTTGTTTGATAATTGTGTTTGCGTTTGTTCTCATGGATTGACGATCGATGACGTCACTCAATTAGAATTGAGATAACGACTTCGATCTTTGCATGCTCCCCTTAGGATTTTCATTTTCCTTTGTTGACAATCGATGATGTCGCTCGATTAGGGTAGCTTTCGAGCTAGACATTAGGATAGTTATCCATGCATGCTAATATTAGGTAGAGATTTCCCTTTTGTTAATCTGAACTTTAGGACCATCTTTGTATGATAATATTAGGATTAGAATTAGGCTAGTCTCCCTTAGACTTTTCTCTCCTCTTTGCATATTTGCATTAAAACTAAAACTTTCTTTTTCTTTAAAAAAAAATCACAAAATACTCTAATGTTTCTAACCCCTTTTTCGAGGTAAAAAATACAAATCAATTCAAATTTCCTTTGCCTCTTGGCTCTTCTCTTTAAAACCTTTTTCAGGTAAGAACGTATTAATTCCTTTCTATGTTAACGTATGAGTCTCCAAAGGTCGAGCTGCGGCAGGATATGAAATTAATATTGTTCATTAAAAAATACAAAAAAAAATTGGAAATTTGTGAGCCGAACTACGACGCTCTGATTCCTTATAAGGGATACGTAGGCATTTGGTCATGGGGCTATTCAAAGCGAAAATTTGTAATATTTCCTTCTTTTCCCCGTGTTTTCTTTGTATGCATTCCCTTTTTGCATTTTTATTTTAGCTCTTAAGAATTAGATTGAACACACCCATTTGATTAGAACAACAAGAGTGGATCCCGTAGAGTACTACAGACGTAAGGGGTGCTAATACCTTCCTCTCACGTAATCGACTCCCGTACCCGATCTCTCAGTCGCAAGACCTTGATTTCTTCCTCCAAGTTTTTTCCGATGATTTTCCTTTCCCTTTATGTGGGATAAATAAATATCCAGCGGCGACTTCATTGATTTTACATCTACAGAAAAATGGCAACTTCATTGGGGAATTATTAACCAGTTTTTGGTCCATCCCGTGAGTCACTCCTAGCTCATGTTTTTCTTTTCTTTGGGTGTTTATATTTATGCTTTATAGCTTATTCATTTGTATATATTTGAGCATATGTATGCATTGCATTTATCGCTTTCCATATACTGGTTATTGCTGCTATACTGGATTTACTGGTTTTTCCAGGTTGGGTGGGATATTACTATTGAGGTAAAAGGCCCAATACCCAGGACAAGTGACAAACAATAGGAACACTAGGAATATAATGGAACATGACAGACAAAGGATGTAGATTACCCTAGATGGTTGTGCTGTCCATGCTTAGATGAGGTATTAATGAAGCGTTATCATTATCATGTAGGTGTACGATGGTAGTACTCTCAAGCAAACCGGTGATTTTGAGTTACCATTGACCTCACACTGACCTAGTCTTTACCCGTGAGTGGGTCGGGATGAATCTTTACAGGTACAAATGATGACTGTATGTTCTGTTGGTGACTTTGTTTCTATGGTATTCTGAATTGGTCCGGACCTTTGATCTTATTACATGTGATCGTGGTTCTGTTATAGTTCAGCATCTATCCAGTATTGCAGAAGCTTTGATCCCACATTTTTGCATACGTAGCATGTTAATGTAATTATTAGCACACATGTTACTTTGTTTCCAAGCATCATTCATTTGGTTCCGATTGTTAATCCGCTAAAAAATGAACATTGTTAAGAAAAATACCATGGCTTAATAATAGGAAGCAAAGCGTATAAACTCTTAGAAACAAGAACTTGTCATTTGTATTTCATGTCATGCATCATTTTGCATTTATTTTTCATTTCTTGAGTTTCCCAGAAATCTTACTCAAGGTCCTTTGGTCTTCAGAAACAAGTTGTCTCATCAATACAACACTCATGCTAAGAGAAGATAGAAAACATTAAGCAAGAGGTCTTTGAACTCTACAAAGAGGTAACTACTTTGAAGGCTGATATGGAGTATCTAACTGCTTTGGTTAAAACTTTGGTTGCCTCCCAAGTTAATCCTTCTAGGAAGGAAGAAGAGATGGCAAAATTCTTTACAGAAACTCTGAAATTATTCTTTCATGAGAAGGTGATAGTCAATACAACCAGTGATTTCCTTGAAAAAGTGAATGTGGGAGTGCTTCTAGAAGAGGATGTCTGAAAGGGATGTTTATCTGAAGATGGTGCCTCAGCTAATGGTGTGAAGAAGTTTGATAATAAATTTTATAAAAAAGAGAACTAGAGGAAGAAAAAATCTTTGTGAGAATCAACATGTTTCTCCTGTCATCCCTATGTTCAATTTACCTCATGTTGCTCCAGTTTGTTAACAGAATCAGCAAGTTCCTGATCAGAGGAAAACTCAGTTTGATTCAATTATAACTACCTATACGAAGTTGTTTCCTGTCCTGATGCAGAGGAATTTGGTTCAAACCCGACTGTTGTACCCCAAAATTTTCCCTCTCATTTCTCAAGATATTTCCTACAAAGATCTTCAATGCCTCGAGTTTGTGCAAGTACCGACTAGGTCAAATAATCTCCTCAATGCTAATATTTCAAATTAGGGTTTGAATCTGTACAGAGATATTCAAATTTCTAATGCTTCAAATGACTTTCAATGATCTTCATGGACCCTTAGAATTACTTCAGTCAAGTTTCAAGCCTCAGATCACAATTTTCTAAGAAAATCATTCAAATTATCCAACTTTTGCAAGACTTTAAAATTTTTCTAAGTATTTTCTATACTTGTTAATTTCATTTGCTTCATGAAATTTTTACTACAATTCCAAATAATTTGAAATGAGGCAAATAATTCAAGTTATTACCAAGTGACATTTTGGCAAAATTACAAATTCTAAAACTATGTCTTGTTAGGATTTTTTCTATTTAACTCAAAAAAACCTTGCCAAATGTTTTGTCCTTGATACAGTGTGCATAAAATACTACACAAGACCAAATTTGTTTCATGCTACAAATCTTGCTGTCCAAGTTGAATAAAGTGTGATATGTTGCATTGCCACAACACCCCAAAACCTGCCCATTGTTGTCCTACAAAAAAACCTTGTGCTATGCTGCACCACAAATCTGCATATGCTGTCCTATACAGTCCAAAACTGCTTTATGCAGTCTGCCCCAACCTGCATCATAACAGCCCCAATTGCACCAAAATGGCAAAGGAAAATTGTGTGAATAAAGTATCAAAACAGTAGGAAAAACAATTCAAAATGACTTATTTTGTTTCCCCTCTAAACCTCAGTCAAGGGTCTACAAAAGGAGTTGTTTCATAAGACATAGGGGGTTGGAATTTTTGGAGAGAATAGAGAGTCTTTGAAAAGAAAAACAGTATTCTTTATAATTTTGGTTCATTCAAGAAAAAACCAGCTCTAATCTCATTCAAAACAGAACTTCAATCCATTATTCCATCTCACAAACTCTCCCATAAATCAAACACCTTAGCACATAGAGATTGTAAAAACACTAAAACAGTTTCTGTTAGTGCCATTATCCTCACCATCCAAACATAAAAACAATATTGTACAACTTGACTAGGTTTCAATAATTTGGAACAAGCTTCCCGGAGATTCATTGGAGCCCCCACAGCATCTTGAAAAGTATTCAGATTTCAAACACCAAGTGTAGTTTCAAGGTAAGTCTTCTTGACTTGGTATTTTTCATACATCATTAATGATTTATTTTTGAAGATAAGATATAGTAGTCATTTCCTCTTTTAGCTAACCATTGACTTGCTGTTTATGTTTATCAATCATATGCTGTAAATTGACATGTATGGACAATAAAACAATGTTTAAGGTAGAAAAATGCAGTATGTATCAACACATACACACATGTGTGGACTCATCCTAGTAAAAAACAGGGTATGAATCGACACATAAACCCCATGCATCGACTTATATTGATTCCAGGTCCATAAACACAAGGTTGAAAAGTCCATGAGTCGACACAAAATGCGTATGTGTCGACACAAAGAAGGCGTATGAGTCGACACATCCCATTATGTGTCAACTCACACTGAGCTGATTTTTCTTTACAAGAGCAAGGAAAAGTTATGTGTC